AAGTTGGCGGAATTTGTTTAAATGATTGCGTCGCTCATAACTTGGATATTCGGAATCGACCCATTCTTCATATAAATTCGACCAGTTCTCATTTATCCAATCAATAAATTCTTGAACGCTATCCTCATCTATTGGAATCGATTCGCTGATATCATCACGTTCTTTGAGATTTTTTTCAGTAAGTGCTCGTAGTAAGTTGCGCCCAGTGAATCGTCGTTCCATGGCCTTATCCTTATTGTTTTCAATATCAGTTTCCAGTGCCATTGAATTACTAATAATGAATGCCAATAGAATGGTGAAAACTATGTATTGATTCATGATGATGATAATGATGATATTTCTTGTTGAAATAATGAATGTAACAGCTAGATATGAAATGTAACGATGTACGTTTATTTTTTGACTGTTTTATATGTTACTAAAAAGCAAAAAAAAAACTACTTTTTCACCTTTTACTTTGGAAGAAACTATCAAAGCGTGTCCGTCGCATGAATATTTTGATAATTTATAGGATTTTGCGTGGTATGAAAAAAGACGTTCGATTGAAAAAAAATGTGGAAGGTAAGAGTGGGTTCGAAAAAAAAAATTAATTTCGTCTATCAATATGAATAATCAAAAGAGACAAGGTTTTTTATATCCTTCGAAATGTACATAGTCTTTATGCATATTTCATTACACCTGTGCATCATTAAACTGTTAATAGGCGAAAAATTAATTACCGCCTACATAGACGAGCATGTTCGTCTGGTCACATAAAAATTTAAGGCATCTAAAAGCATTTATGTTTCTTTTTTTAGGAAAAAAAGTCATTTTAGCCTCGTAGATTCGTGTAGCATCACCATCAAGCTCATATAATGATTAGCTCTTCCGAGAGACATATGAACAGAATATGAGTGTTATAGTTTTAAACAAGTATTTAAATTGTGCAGTAAACACGACTAGAACAGAAGATGTGTGATTATAGATCGATATACCTAAATGTATGAAATACATGTCTGTATTGATAAGATAAATTGTAATATCACTTAAATGATATGCAAGAAGATATATAAAAACAAGGATATATTTATTCATTGATTGTTAATTTATCTTTATATTACTTTAGAAAAAATAAATTTTAAGAAAATAATAATGGATAAAATCTCAATTCTTATTTATCTTTTGAAAAAAAATAATAAAGTTAAATATATCAACCAGAACAATCTTTTTCTAAGAAAAGACATAATAAAAAATAAACTATAATTCAATGTGACTCTTATTTACATGTCATTAGTCATGAGATAAGTTTATGAATCTTGACTGTTTGTTTTCTAATAAAAAAAGATTTTTTTTTTTGTAGACGAAAATTATATTTATTGTTGAGTTTTTCTTATGAAAGTAAAAATAAATTCCAAACATCAATGTAAACTAATAAGTGAGTCACATTTATTATACGAATCAGCAGTGATGGATATTTCTGATTCAATCACATAAACATCTCAAAATCGCGTTTTTTCATAGGAAGAAGGAGTTTGAAAATTCTTTATTTAGTATAGTTTGTCAAATAGAATAACAAATAGTTCTATTTGTTTTTGATCATCACTTAGTTTTGATGTCATAATAGAATACACTTCATTGTTTTGTGTCACAATCATCGATTTGACACGATACTGTAGTTATTTTATTTTCTGGTTTTGAACAAACATTTGAGTATTTTTTTATTGAACACTATATTCACCATCAGCCAAAACTTGGCAACAGTCGTTATGTTTATGCTCCAAGTATCATCACCTATTTCTGTTTGATTAGTGGAAAGAATGAGAAAATTCAATGAAGTTAATGTATCGTTGATATTATTTGACAACAAATACATATTCCAAATACCGACCATACATTGTGAAGTAATTTCAAGAAACGTCACATCGACCATAGGCATCTCATCAGATTGTGTAATTGATATTCGTGTTATAATCCTACATAAAATGAAGAATAATATTTTATAAGAAACTTTTCAAAATGAAATATTATTTTTTTATAACAAACAGAAAGCATACTGATGTACGTACGATTAGATATTCTGAAAATGATCAATTTTGTTTTTTTTTCAATTGATCTCCTCATCAAACTCTATGATAAGATTGAGTGCAAGCTCTTTTTACTACTTCAATTATTTGAAAGATTATTAGTGCAATATATTACTAGTCGAATTTTTCATAACCAATGAAACTTCTTCATTTATTTTAGGTGTCCATTCGATCAGCACTGTAACTATTTCTGGTTCAATAAATGTTCGACTACACGATCAATAAAAACATTGTCTCGTGTATCAACAGTGAAACCGATCTAATGTTTAGATAATTATCAACGATTTCAGCAAATAATAATACTAATTTTTTTACTTAAATCAAATTTTTTAATTAATTTTGAAAATATACTTGTCCATGAGTTTTATTTTATAAACACTTCAAAATCATCTTGATCATCAATACTGTAATGAAAAGTATAACCTGAAAAAATGACATTAAGTACGTTCATTCTAGTGGATTTTCTCACCTTGAAATACGCTCGATTCAGAGACGCTATGAATCTGATCGAGTTCGATTGTGTGTAACGAGTGATAAAAAAGTTTTCGAACAAAATGTTGAAAGCTGAAACATTTATATAAAAGCTATCGAAACAATTTCTTTTACAGATTACATAGCTTGTCATATCCTCTATCTGTACTATAAATTTGAGATTTTTCGATCGAGCCATTGTTATCAAAATGATTGATCTTCGTAAACGTGTTTTTTTCTATGCTTGGACAAAAAAATAATTTAAAAAAAATTGATATAGTAAAACATTTTGTACTAGAAGGTTATAAAAGATCAACAGTTTATGATGCAATAAAACGTTGCGAAATTGGTCTAGCAATTGAAGATTGTCCAAGGAGTGATTGTCCAACATCTTTTAATAAAAAAAACCTGAAGTGTTTACAAAATGCTGCTGAAAATCGTGTTAGTATAAGTCAAAGAAAATTAGCGACAAGATTTGGTGTCACACATTCGACCATTCATTATAATATGAAGAAACTTGATCTTAAATATTATATACGTCAAAAAGTATCAAAATATATAAAAACGCAATTTCAACAAGTACCAAAAAAAAATGTCAAAAAATTAGATGTCAAATTACACCAGACACATTCGTTATTGTTGATAACGAAAAATATATTTTACTTTCTCCAATAATGACATGCCACAAAATAATGGTTTTTATTCATTTGATAAAAAACATGCTTCAGATCATGTTAAATACAAAACAAAAGAAAAATATCCTAAAAATGTTTTAGTTTGATTAGCTTTATCAGCAAAAGGTTTTTCGAAACCTTTTATTGAAGCTGCGCAAGGTCCGACTGCTACTGCCGATGTTTACATTCATCAATGTTTGAGTAAACATCTTTCATTTATTAACGAACACCATGTTCATGATGATTACGTATTTTGGCCTGACTTTGCATCTTCACATTATGCTAAAGAAACAACAGAATGGCTTATTCAACATAACATCAAATTTATATCGAAAGAAGGCAATCCACCAAAAGTTCTGAAAGCTCGACCAATAGACGATTTTTGGTAGATGCTTGCTGAGAAAGCATATGAAGGAGGTTGGGAGGCAAAAACTGAATTACAATTAAAAAGAAGAATTTATAAGAAAATAAAACAAATCGATACGAAGATGCTTTAACTATTTCTTTTTTTTACATTTAAGTTTTGTGTGTTTTATGTAGAACAAACCTATATAATAAACATTTAGTCAAGAGGAGAAATATAAGTTTGAATATTGTCTAAAAACTTTTCTTTGACTCAAACTAAAACGATTTTCAGCAGCATTTTGTAAACGCATAAGGTTTATTTTTTATTAAAAGATCTTGGACAACCACTCCTTGGACGATCTTCAATTGGTAGATCAATTTCGCAACGTTTTATTGCATCATAAACCGTTGATCTTTTAAAACCTTCTAATACAAAATGTTTTACTATATCAATATTTTTTAAATTATTTTTTTGTCCAAGCATAGAAAAAACACATTTACGAAGATCAGTCATTTTGACAAGAATGGCTCGATCGAAAAACCTCAAATTTATAGTACGGATAGAGGGTGCAACAAGCTATGTAATCAGTAAAAAAATTGTTTCGATGGCTTTTATATAAATGTTTCAACTTTCAATATTTTGTTCGAAAACTTTGCGATCGCTCGTTATTGCATTTTAAACGCAATACGAGTGACAATCACAAACATATCAAGGCGAACCGTTTTTCCTTAGTGATCGTTTTCTTGAAGCAATAAAATAAATTGTCTTACGAGGGAAACAGAAAATTCGACAATCGGTTATGGTTAGAAGTAACAACCAAAGATAAAATAAACAAACATGATGATTACAACAAAATTAATCGGATATGATTAAACTATTAATAGAATTTTTCATACACACTTCGCATGCATCCTTCATATAAAATCTAATTAATTGAATAAATCTAAAAATCTTTATTTTTGAAATATCTTTTTCTAATAACTAACAAAAAAATGTTCTTGCTTTTCTTAGTTTTCAGAAACATTTGTTTATTTCACTAAGTTAGTTTAGTCTTTAAGTTGTTGAGAAACACCGGCAGGAACAACAATTGATTTATCTAATTTACTCAAAAGCCAATCAGCAATCCAAGCAGGTGATCTAGAAATTGGAAAGAAAACAAGACTTGATTGCCAACCAGGTCGATAACGAATATGAGGAACTGTATTCATAACAGCATGTTGAAGTACTCGCACAACTTTCATTGGATCTTCGGCATATTTCACGAATGGGTTTTGTTTTAAGATATTAAATACGATTTTAAGAGAATCTTCCCCCCATCGTTCTTGAACATCATTTGACAATTGACTCCAAAACTCTGCAAATGATTTACCACTTCCTTTGATAATAGGCGTTTGCATAAATCCTGGTTCAATAATACTAACACGTAAACCCCATGGAACCATTTCACGACGTAAACAATCCGAAAATGATTCAAGTGCGTACTTTGATGCACAATAAGCAGACCCACTTGCTAATGCGACAAAACCCAATATAGAACAAATATTAACAACACGTGAATCACGTTTAG